AATATGAACCTTTCCTTTATGTATAAGGCAACATTAGGTTCCACTTTCACATTGCTTTCCAAACAATAGAAGCTAAATTATCGCTAGCAAATACAATTGAGAAGATAATTTCACTTAACAGGAAGTCATTAGTAAAATAATGACAAAAGGATCACGACAAATAACATGAACTATTTCTGCTACTCAACTCTACTTTTTTGTTCTAGTCTCACTTCCACATGTGAAATAGAAGTGATGACATATAGGGGAACTTTAACAAGATTAATAACAACAACAACAGTAAATAAATTGATAGAAAAAGCTTAAGATCCCATAAGTGCAGTAAAGTTTCCCAGCAATTGTTATAGCAAACATAAGCAGTGGGGAAAGTGAGCAAGAGAAGCAAACAGGACAAGCGCTGTGTTAAACCACTGGACCACCAAGAAGAAGAAAAAAACTGCAAACATGGCGCTGCATTTGTGAAATCCTTCCAAACTGCTGTTTGTTTGCTGTTGTCTTCCCACCAGCAATGAAGGGAATATAAACAGAGCAAGACTGAACTGAACAGCTTTGCCCGCAGGTCAGCACGCTGTCACAGATCAAGCTTTGTTAGTGCAAAACGAGACAATCAAAATATCAGGTCCCTATGTGTGAACACCAAATACAGCAGTGTGGAGAGGTAGCAGTGGATAGTTGATGTTAAGCACCAGTGTAATGGTCATCGCTGGTTTAGACCAAAGCTGGGGCTACACCCCGTGCCTGTGTGGGGTTCCTCCAGCTTCCTCCCACAGTGCAAAGACATGGATCTCAAATTATCTGGTGAATCGTCAGTAGATGAGAGGTTGAACAGAACCTTGTATTCTGCATGTATGTGTGGTTAAATGTGGCTTATAGTCTCTGTGATCTGAGTGTTCGACATTTATGTGCCTCACAAATTTAAGCTCCAACAATCTAACCTGGAGACGATGCTACATAAACACACATATTATTTTTCCTTGTGTTTGTTACGTTAGAGACATCAAAGAGTCCATCTGTTTGCTTGCTGGTGGTCTCCACTTTAGAACAAAACACACAGACCAATGAATATGCGGGAAACTGCCAGTTACTGGACTGGTAGTTTGGGTGTAACCAAGGCAGAGTCATGCAGAGGTAAACACACCAAGAAGACAGACAAACTGCACTCTGTTTGTTTTGCTCCTCCCTTCAATATTTCAAACTAAGAGTTCCAACATGAGCTCTTAGATAAAGAAATCTGCAGCTGTTGCCCCACCTTCCTTATCCAAGCAAACAAAAAAACAGCTATGTTAAAATACGCTCTCTCTCAACTGGTGTGAACTCGCTATGTGTATGCGGAAAACAAACTGTGCTACATGCAACGAACAAAAAGATCAAGGAGGACGAACTCCCTGGTGTCTGGAAGCGAGATGCAACTACTTCATATACCAGGCACAGTAAAGGATCATTACCATAATGTTCACCCAGACTTTTACACCAAATCTTACAGCATTCAGACGTCTTTATTATGCTATCAAGGGAAGCTTAAATATTCTTTCACTTGGTTTGGAGTTTGTAAGGAGTTCATGTGCCAAAACAAACAAACAAAAAGCAGAAATAGCAGGAAATCAGCAGAGTCATTGATTGGAGCGAGTCTTTGACCGATCACTGGTCAGTTGATACTTGACTGAAACTACCTGTTGAAGTCATATAGCACTGCTGGTGTCTGTTGTACCTTCTCAGGACAGAAGTCAGGGTTGGTTTGTCGCACTTTGCCAGGCCGCCCCTTTATGACTGCATAGCAGAACATAGTGATGACCATGACAAACAGGAAGTAGCTAGTGTGCATCAGGTGAAGGTTGATGAGGGAACGGTCGTCCTAGTAAGACAAGCGTTAAAAGACACAGTTTAATGTCACAGAGTAACTTCAGGTTTTATTTCAAGCAGAAGGCTACAAGCTTGATTTCTTTATTGCTCACTGCACAAGTTACCTGTAGTTTTTGGTGAAGGTGGTACACTAAAAAATACGTATAATAGTTACTGCATGCATGTGGGTTTTCTCATAACAGCTGCAGCTCCATGTTAAACAGATCAGCCATTTCTCGTTAGAATAGGTCTTAACAGGTCTGCAGTTTTCAGGTGTATTCTTCAGCTGCTGCTCATACTTACTGTGGTGCCTGCGTCAATACCTCAGACAACAGTATGCGATTTTCCTCTGAACTCCACTTTGCGCCTCCTCCTCAAAAATTGCTCAAAATCACAAACGCGTTCCCTCATTGTTCAGTCTTGCCTTTGCGTTACTGTAAGTACCTAATGAAGGTTCAGGTGAAACTTAAAAACCCACACTGACACAAGGTATTCATGGTTACCTGATGCATCGTCTCTACAGGTGGGTAGTTTATATCGAGTTGACGGTACAACTTAATGGCCCGCTCTTTTTAGAATGACAGGCCCTTCTGGCTGCTGTCTGATATAATCTAATGCAAAATTAGAGTTGAAACACAAGCACATTTAACTGCACAGTAACCTTCTAGAGTGAAATATTAAAACATAATTAAAGCAGAGCCATTATAATCATGTCCAAATCTGTATTTTTATTCCTGCACTCTGTCAGAACAGCTTCAGATTCAGAGTTCGAGATCATCCTTCTTTATCTTAAGCTGGGCCTTGGTGCAACACTTCAGTCAATCCTCAGTCTGAAACGACGTATTTAAGATCCCTTCCTCCTGCCTTTGATTGGCCCCTTATAAACAAAAGTTTTGAACCGCCGGGGGGGACTAATGTGCAAAAGACTGATGTGAGAGTGTTTATAGCAGTCTGAGGCCTGAGCCTTTGGTTCACATGGATTACTCACAAGTACGATAACCTGATTAATCTGAAACTCTGGCGGTATGTAACGTGAGCCTATAACATTGTACCAGTACATATTGGGGAAAAGCATATTAGGTCCACTCTAATGATATTTAATTCCAGCCTTGCTGGTACATTTGCAGCTCAAATGCAGCTCACTGTTCCTGGAACAACCTACGCCCATCAGCACAGATCTAAATGCCTTTCAGAATAAACTAGAGGTTTAGGAACATTTACCCCTAAATGATCTCTCTGTGTTACAATGGGTTAAAAAAATACTATCAACAAAGTATACCATTCTTATTCTCAGTCATCCTACTTGTTTAAATCATGGGGAAATTACAGTAAAAGGATGTATATCACAGAAACTTTGTTTCTTACTTTTACGTATTTAAATGAAATGAGACATAAAGAACTACTGTTGAAATTCAAAAACTGTGAGGAGCTGTGGTGACTCACATCTGGAACAATCACGGTAAGTTTTGGGTTGAGTGCGTGGTACACTTTGCCAATGGCTCCTTTGTAACACCAGAAGGGGTTGTAGTCCTGACTGTACTTGGTATCTGAGTCGCGGACCGTGGTGAACACCTTGTACCAAGATGTGGCATTGGTGTACGTCTCTGGCACGCAGTGTGGTGGCTGCCTGCAAACAAAAACACAGGGGCTTTTGTTAACTGGTGCAGTGGAATAGTTCACACCATATTATAGCAGAAAAACGTACAGATGTTGTTGCTGTTTATCTGCTCTGTATATTTTCTTATGTTTATTTGTGTCAAACAGCCTTATTATGAAAAATTGCTTATTTGGGTGACAACAGATTATCCATCCTGACAGGAAGGAAAACAAATGCGACACACAGATGCCACAGCTGCTGACAGGGGAAAAAAAAACATAGACATGAGAGGTTTTGATCAATTTTAAATAATAATTATAGTAATAAATAAGTAAAGTAAAAATTGTGGATAACAATTTATAACTTCTTAATGTATAATTTCATATTATGCAGTTTACAACTGGGCCACCAGAGGGCTCTAAAGCAGTATCCAAGGCAACTGATACAATGAAACAATATGACTGTCTACAAATAATAATAAAAGTACTGCTACTACACTGATAAATGGCCTAGTTCAGTAAAGCATAACAAATGAAGCTTAATTTGTCTGATGGAGCCTCACTCACACTGCCTCTACACTTTAGCAAGACTGCTTTGGCTATCTTTAGTTTTACAAAGTGACAAGTCATCCTATCACTGATCTCTAAGTACTGCTTAGGTCTAGGCCCGCGTTTCATCATATTTGCAACATGCAAGGTGATGCAATTTGCACCTTAACTACCTCTTGCGGCATATGTCTGTTCTTTGCATGGGCATGCACAAGCCCTGCAAAAATATTTGTGAGCCATTCATTTGCAAAATGTAACGCTGTAGTAACAAAGTACTTGCAAATCACTTTAACTGCAGAGCTACAAAAGGAAGCTGCACATTACTGCACATTTTGTGGTTTCTCAAATGGTTCAAAATAACAAACAACAACAAAAAAATGCATGTTTCTGTAAAACAAGGCAACGCAGACTTATTGCCTTTACTGAATGATAAACTCCTCAAAGCTGCATTTCATTTAGTCTGCATCAGAAAGCTCAAGACTAATTTAGTGCGCTTGTTCCCTTGAGTTATGGAGGCAGTCCAACTCACACTGTGACTGGGAAGATATTGCTGGCCGCTGTGATGGTCATGCAAGTGCTGAACACCACCTGCTCGCAGTGACCGTGCAGAACACAGTCGTCCGAGTTCCAGGATACGGGCAGAGTAAACGTGATGTTTATTTCTTCATGAGCTTCTCGGCCTACAGGCAAAACAAAGACAACGAGAGCAGCAGAGATTGTTTTAAACTTTTCACGACAAGATGTCACCAACTCATTTCTTTTACATTTTAATCACAATGTAATGTTTTTAAGGCAACCTCGTGTCGCATTTCCATGACCCGAGGATCAAGCTAAAAACCTCTGAGCTCTAAAGCGAATATCAGAGGTATGAACAGTCCAAACAGTATGAATGCAACTCCTGCAGCAGGAGGCTCATACCAAGCTACCTCCTGATAACTAATGACAGGCTGATTTTGTAGGCTTATGCAATATTTTTCAAACTGCAAAGGAGATTAGAGGATTATCAGTCAAACTGAGTGGACTCCTGGGTGTGATTTAGGACTGACGTGTTCATCCAGATGGAGGAGACAATAGAGAAAACAAAAGGAATTCTCACTAAGTCCAAAAACTGTTCTACTAGGCAACTCGTGCTTTATACAACTCTAGTTTAAACAAATGAGAAACTTTGATGTACAATAATAAAAATAAGCATTTATACTAAAAAAAATAACCTGTCATAGAACTAATATGCAGCATTTGCATTTGATTTTTCTCTCTGAGTAATACATTTGTTGCCATTCAAATTCAAGATAATGCTGTTCCTGGCTAACAGCTCAGCCAATCACAACACTGGCACAATAAAATAAAAGTCAAACTAGGGCCTCTTTATGAAATTTAATTTACAAAATAAGGCTGCAGTATATCATTTTAAACGAGAATCGAGGTGAGACAGTGCAGTTCAGATGAGTATATTTTGATGTTATGTTACATAATCGGTTTCATTCGGAAAGTCATGCCAGCGTTTGGATCTCTGCCCTCAAGAAAGACTCAAGCAAACCCTCCACTTTCCAACAACAAATAACAGCATAAAGTCTGAGAAAGTTACTCCAACCAGCGGTATGCGTGACAATAATAGTTCATCATTATCCATTAACATCAACAATAACAATAATTTTTGGTTTGTGTAAACAGGAACTAAATCGCTTTCTTTGAATAGAGAACTGCAGATGACTACTTGTTTTTTTAAGGGTGAATTTGAATCTAAAATGACACGTTCAACACTACAGTCAATGACGCAAAGTGACTGAGGCAACAGGAACCTGCAACCAGAAACCTTAAAAGGAGAGAATGGGTCTTTTCGAACAGACACAGCAATGGTCGTGCCACTAAACTTGAATCGCAGTTATTTATTTTAAATGCAAAATTGATCTTATTGACAATTCAACAGACGTCTTTGACAATTTTCACCGCCATTCGTCTGTTTCACTCCAGACCTGGCAGGTACTCACACACACACACACTGCTGCTTACCCAAATGCAAATTCGTAACAAAGTTCAGTGCTGAGTGTGATGTAGTTTGGATGAGCAGCTCTTATAATTTCGGTAAAAACTGTTATTTGTTGCCAATGTTTCACCTACACTGTCAGAAGACATGCACATACAGGCATGTTTGCTTGACTCTCTTTATGAGAATACTGATTAACATTAATGCATCCCCCAGCCTCTTACAGTTGGACATGTACAAAGTACATTTTTGGTTTTTTATCATAATTTGCTTTGGTTTCCTGTGATAAATGACTTAATTCACTCATATAATTAGAATAATCAAAATGCAAGGAAGCCACAATCTGCCCTTTTTCAACAAGCACAATCACAAACACACTCCCTCTTACACACTAATAATAGCCGTTTCCTGATAGCTGTCCTTGTTTAAAAGCAGTGCGTTCTGACTGCATGTGACATTCGGTAAACTGTAGCCATTTCCAAATAACCAGGCTTACACTCTCTCCAAACAAGCGCTGCATTAAAGTAATATTAAAAAAAAATCATTTGACTAAAAACTTTGCCTCTAAGTAATAGAAAAAATTGGACTTCATGTGGACATAGTAAATCCTGAACTTTGAAAGTTGGCTACATTAAGCAGAGTCTGTTAGCCAGAAATCTGCTAAGTGTAATGTTTCACACATTTTTTTAACATGCCTTCCTAATTCCAACATGCAGCACCTCAGAAGCAAAGCAGCAAGAAAACACACATGGTCTTTCAGTGTGTATGAGCACTTTAGACAAAAGGAAAAGTTTCCTTTTTTTTTTTTGCCTGTCCCATTTGGTTCTTTAGCCGTCAGAATTGATGTCTGAAGACCAAAAAGGATACCCAATGGATTTACTTTGCCAAATGGATCATCACGACCTTGCCGTATTGGTCCATTTGATCAACCTTTGTTGTTATTATTTAATTCATTTTATTTTCAGTTGTTACAGACGGGACAGACATGAGTGAGGGATAGGAAAGGGAGAAAGAAAGAGGAAGGGAAAGAAAAACAGAAGGGGAGAGGGACAGTGAGAAAGGGGGGGGGGAAAATATCTCCGGGATCACCTGTTGAGAGAAAAAGAAGAAAAAACAAGCAAAAAAACAACAACAGAGCAACACACTAAACACAACACCATCACGTTAATCTAGCTAAGTGTAAACAGCAGTAAATACTAAATATTGAATGTTGTTGTGCAGCACGTAGGACCGACAGCGCACAATGTGCTTGGAAATAGCGGCCAATAAAGGTGTAGTTTATGTCTATGAACAGTGAACACCCGTGTGCACACCTGTGTGGATCAGCGCGCTTGTATTCAAAAGGTTTCCCCATGTAATGGTCTGCTAGAGGATGTAGAGAGCCATAGCCCTGCCCCCCAGGGCATGAAGCAGGCATGGAGGAGATCCAGGCTCCAGACATCCAGAGGCCCCAGAGTGCAAGAGCCCAAGGAGGACCACCGGAGGGGCATCCGTGCCACCCTCCTGGGAAGAGCTGGGGAGAGCCCCAGATGAGGGGTCACCCAGTAGCCACGTAGCAGAAGCCAGAGGGGGCTGCAGTGGCGTGCCCGCCGGCTCTGCCGGCAGCCAGCTGTGCCAGAGTGAACCGAGCTGCAGGCCCAGAAGCCGGAGGCCCGAGGGCCCCCTTTGCCCCGGAAGAGGCCTGACCGAGCAACAGGCACCAGGCCAAGTAGTCACCGGGAGTGAGCTGGTACATACCTGAGCGCCCAGCCCCGGACACCAAGAACCACCAACCCCTGAGGGCATCATCAGGAAAAGTTTGCTAACGCACACTCAGATAAGCCCATAGACACATTCAGAAGCTTCACAGAATTTTAGGAATTCACGTTTCACTTTGACAGGTGGGCTCACCAGCTTAACATTACACAACACCTCTGCTGTTTGCTCACCATGTTGAAGTAAAGTCACAGCACAGAGAGCTAAAGTAAAAAGCCCAACAGAAGATCCACAACGCAAAAACTCTCCACACTATAGAGAACACACGTTTCTCCCATGATAATTAAAGAAAGCACCTGTTGCATAGCACGAGCAATGAGTGTAGAATTTATCCGAGTTTCCAAACTTGCCTTTCCATGAAAGGGTTCGGAGCAATTGCGGAATTCCTAATTTGTTAGATACAAAGATATCCTCTGCTAAGCAATGCCTGAAAGGCCTGATCACCACCTGTTACATCAAGACTCCTGCACCATTTTAAACACTCGAAACAAATGCTTTTTAATACCTGAAAATTAAGAAATAAGAGAAAATAACACTGATATAAGGTATTATATTTTTGCCTTTTATAGACAAGATACACTACTGCTTGGTATACAGCTAACTGTAAAATCATCCCAACAGCACAGTATTTAAGGCTCGCCTTTACATGAAATTAAAGCGAATCTCTGAACTTTTGGATGCAGGCCAAACTAAACAAGGAAGTTGAAGATGTATAGTACACTGACAGCCGTTTGAGCCAAAGCTGACTTAGCTGTATCCCATTGATTTTAGATAAAAGGGTCTGCTTTTTAACCAGTCTTAAAATACCTTGTGCACATTTGATACCTCTTACAAATTTAGGGGAAATATAGAGGCAATTAAGAACTTGACCGATTTTGATTTCAAACCTTTAAACGACCCCTAAAAACCAACATATTGTTGTGAAACATTGTTTTTAAGGCTACTCTACATCTGTATGAGCTGACATGTATTAGGAGTACATCTACCACCTGCAGTGGCAAGTAACAATCTTTCTTCTTCCTTAATCGAAGCTACAAGGCAATTAGACATTGTATGACAACAACACGTGGCATTTTGGAAATATTTCTGGCTATGCAACCTTCATGTATATTACCTGGAATCTTGTGAAAACAGTTTTTTTTTACAGATGTAGATAAACCGGGAAGTAGTTTATCCTACTTTACAAGTCAAACTGACTACAGAGCAATCAAACCTAGCAAAGAAATATGAGAACCTACCTGAGAGGCCTACTTGCTGCCCCAGCACCGTGGCATACAGGTGGGTGATATTGCGAGAATACCCTCCAAATGGACGCTGAGGGTCCAGCGTGAGGGTGATGGGGACTGAGATGTTAATGGGCCCCGAGTCCTCCAGCAGTAGGGGAACCTGAGTGCTGGAACGAGCCTGGCCGCTAGTCACCACCATGCTCTCCGGCGTGGTCGACTCGTTCAGGCCGTGCTTTATCGTTTCATTCTCTGACACACAAAAGTCCAGCTCATTGAAGCGCAACAGAAAAGTGTTCCAGTCCTGTGAAAACAGTGAATATGTTTTTAACTGCCAGACATGACAACATGCACAGAAATCCATGTACAATGTTGCTGTTACTGTATGTATTTGTAGACAATATTTAACCTATGTGCAATATTTAGTTTGGTTACAATGCATCCAATTATTTAACTAGAACAACCTTTTTCATTTGCATATGCCTCCTTTCAGATTTACATGCTGCACACTGTGCAGAGAATGTGTATACTATATCATAACTTGTTCCCTCTGCGTGCCGAGAGCTAGGGCAGAGCTAGTTGCTTAGTGCAGGTTGTTTGATTGTCAGCTTTATCATCCAAAAGCAACCTGATCAAACTTCATAAATCCTGAATGAGAGATGGTGCATGATCAAAAGAAGAATCCATGAAATTTTTGTGCAGGTCCAAATCATTTTCTTTTGAACTGGGCTTGGCAGAGCACCATGTGCTCCAAATGCCCCTTAAATCTGACTCACATCAGAGCCAGGTGAAAAGGGGTCAGATACATATATACCGCAGCAAGAAAGCTGTTTTCAGCCTTACATCCTGTAGTGCAGTTGAAGCATGGTTTTAATAAAAGAAAAAAATACACCCTTTAGTTATAAAGCAGGCAACAAAGGTCACCACCTGACATTCAGAATTAGCAGTGATCACACTTTACCATTTTTAGGACCACATAATTTCATCTACTTCAAAAAACTGCACGGATGTGCCTTACCTCGGTCAACTCTGGAGACTTGATCTCTTTAATCTTGAAGAAATAACCGATGGTCAGGAAGGCGATGGCCACTGCACTTACACTGATCATAAAAATGACCAGAGGTGGACGGTTGTTGATGTAGCTTCTCAGGTTGTCTATAGGATTTAACAAGTACACCTGCACACAGACAAACACAGATTAGCTAATATTTAAGTATGCGAGAGAGTGTGACTTGCTTTGCATCGAGGTTTGCACTAAGAGACAAACCTAACTTAAATGACTGATACAAGGCCTATGAGCATACGTGTCACTCACGATGACAAAGTGATGCATTAAATGCTTTAAACACAGCATTAGCAGTGATCACAGTTTCAAATGAAGAAAAAAAAAGACATTTGCTTTAGAGTCCAGTTTAAGATCATGCACAGACTAAACAGCAACAAATATGCTGGGCTCACACTTAAATCTGCCTTTAACCTTTAAAAATTATGCTTCAGAGTTACTCTGCACCATACAATTACATTGTCTGAAATTTAAGCAAATGAGGCCATCTCTGGCAGACAGTTCGCCACCAGAGTCATCACTAGTGACGCATTCTAGGCAAACCACATTTAAATGATCTGTCTTGTAATAAAACCCGATTCTTTGATCCCCATGATAGAACAGAGAAAACCCGACTCATAGTGGTCAAAACATTTATAATTCTTTATTCAATCCTCTTCCGGAAGAGAGAGAGCCCTGCACAGCCCAACAGCAGTTGCAGGACCTCTAACATTAGAATCTAAGAATGTCTCACATATAGGTGTTATTTTGGTACTTTACACCTCACACATAGGGAAGCATAGGAAAGTGAATACTTGAATTACCAGTTGTAATAAAGTAATGTGCTACATATTTCAACCAATTTCAAACACGCCAACTCTGCAATCACACTTAACTTATGGTTATGGTTTATTGTGTATTTTGTTGTACAACTGTGCATCATATAAATACTGCGTATCATCAACATGAAATAACACTAAAAAATTATTCAGCATTGTATCTGGTTAAGACCCACTGATACAGTTCATCATATTCAGATAATAAACTAAGACAGCATTAATGTTGTTAAATGACACCGGAGTCAAATCAGACTGGTATACACAAATTGCCCACAGGTTCTTCGAAAATGGCACTCAACTGGTTCAGCAAGTTGCTTTGGCTGTGTAATTATTTAAACAGGACATTTAGCAGCAGAGCTACCTTTAAAAAAAAAAATCTTCTCACTCAATCAAATAAAACTTTGAAAATTGCACTGATGCTTTGGAACAGGGGGTATATATATATCTCATACACTTGCAAACCCAGTCAGATGGAACTATGCAGGCAATATGCTCACGGCCTTTGACATGACGTTTACCACGATGAGGAACTAAGATAAACGGTTGGCTCAAATAATTACAGCACCTCTACATCATTCAAGGATCCCGTGTGAGCTCTTTATGCATGTTTATCGAACTCATTGCCCTGTACCGAGTGTGCAGTACAGTAAGCAAGGACATTTCCGCGTATTTGCTGGAGCCATGTGACTTTATCTTTCTCTAAAGTTGTCAAAACATCCAACTGTATACTGAAATATTTCAAAGAATTAATGCAAAATGTTGATGCAACAGAATTGGGACGATAGTGTGAACATCTAATTCTACAATTAACGCCCCACCAGAAGAAACCGTCGATATTATGACAGGAAATCGTTTAAAACTGCAGACGTGCGTTAATTCAGCCCTGTGTTTAAACGACAGGCAGGTGACAAGCTCTCAGTAACATACTACGACTCGGGTCGCTAGCTACCTCGACAAAGTGACGAAGCTGGCTAAATTAGATGAAAAGCACGCACAAGCTGTCCTTACCATTTTTCCCGTGTGTTCCTCTGACGGATGCTAGCTGGAAGGTTCGTTTCGGTGTCACAATAACAAGGCAGCTAGCTCTCTGCGAAGCTAGCCTGTGCTGCTAGCTTACTCGCTTTCCTGAAGCTAGTCCCTGCTGAATATCCCGCGGAACAGCAAAAATCGGTGTTCGCTTGAGACAGCCGGGCTTTCAGCACACCAAACACCGTGTGTACTGCTTCCCATTCTTTGCTCTATAGCTCACCGCTGCACTAATGAGAAGTATTTTTTCTCGTACAGCCTGGAACAACGTCAATGTCTCCGGGTCCTCCCTCTGCCGACATATCGTCCGCGCCCCCGCACTGCGTAGTAAAAACGTCGCACCGCACCGCCGCCGTCGCGTTATTTTCATAGAACCTGCGCCTGAAAATACACGTCAGTACGTCGGTGATGCACAGGCTTACGTAATTTACGTAGAGTACAAGCGATTCAGTACAAATCATTAGAGCTTTTTTGCAGCGGTAAGGTACCATAGGAAACGAAAGGTTTGAAACGGAACGTCTGACGTTTTCTTTTTTCTTCTTTATTTTGTCATGTTTCCAAATGTCCCATTGTAAAGGGTTGAAAAGTCGTAAAAAACTGATCCGTTATTTATGTTATGTATTTACGAAAACCAAATAAAAAACCATCAAGAAAATAGCTTGTTCCAACTCAGGAATCAAAGGTACACCTTTAGTAAGATATTTTATTGGCGTCTGCTATGTAAGTATTGGTACAACCAATACTCTAAAACCTGAAAAAGTTAATATTAATATTGTTTAACTTATATTACCATCAAAATCGACCTTGCCCTACTTTTTAATAGACACACATTTTGCTTTGTTCTTTAAAAAAAAAAAAAAAGTTTTCAGCACTTATTTTCAAATCTTTGCTCAAATACACTATTGTGGGCTAATAAAAGCATTTAACTGTTACGGTAACAGGGTTAAAATTAGAGTAACGGGGTTGCACAAGATAACAGGTTGATTTGATATATTTCTTTTTAGATGTAGAGTCGTGACATGTAACAAATAAATACTCAGAAAAGCAGAAATGTTTTATTTTTGTTGTTGTTGTTTTTTTTAATTTTTGGAATGTTTGATTTAAGCTGGGAAGCCTCCAAGCCCTCGCCCCACGCTACGCTGAAAAGGATAATGTTTGATTTATATGTTCGGTCTACCGTTGACTTTTTAAAATATGTTGAACAGTGGTTCAACAATCAGACACAAATCAGAATAAAAACGTGGATTTATAACTTATTAGAATAATAACATTTGAAATACAATTTAGTGATCACGAAGCTGGAACAAGAGAAAATAGTTTTAAGAGACATTTTGTATTTTAATTAATATTTTGTATAATTACACACCAAATATATGCTTTAGTATTTTCTGCATGGATTAGTCTTAAATTCGTGCCTGGACAGAAAATATACTGCCTCCTGCAGTTCAGCCTTAGGCGCAGCAGAGGTCGCTAAAGGACTAGAAACTCGTGTTTCTAGCCAAAACAAGCATTTCAGTTTTCGCAAATATGGCAAATGCAGTTGGCCAGAACTGAAATAAATCACTTTTTACATGCTTTCGTTTATCTTACAGCAAAGTCAAGTTTGCCCATAAAGCACTACTGTTTTGCTAAAGCAGTTGATCGGGCTGTAAAGGATTTACGACAAGGTAAACTCGTTGATGGCACACGTTGAGAAGCGATGGAGGTTACAAACGGTGTTAAACCAAAAGACGAACTTGCACATGTGTATTTTTTTTTTTAAAGCGGCTGGTTGCGATGCTTGAAAAATGACTGCTACCAGAAGCCTGTTGCTGAGTGGATCTTTTCCCCATAACTGCAGTCTGCAGCCTATCAACTCAGCAACTACTCCAGAAATTACTCATCATTTCCATAAACAGGGAACATTGACCTAGGCCTCTAAACACAACTTCTCAACACACAGATCTTACATATGGAACAATAAAGTTATTCAACTAAAACACAAAATTATTTTAATCCAAAAATGGATCATCTACAATGATGTCATTCGAAGATAGGTTGTTATCTTATAGTGAATTCCATGTTACAAATATAGAACATGGACCAGACATATCAGACACATACTGCATTGTGACTAAAATAATAATAATAATAATAATAATAAAAACTTTAAAATAGCAATAGTAATTTAAAGCCTGGGAAGGTTTAAACTGAACATTGATTATTTCTGTGATCTAAATAAATAAACTATTCCTCATTTATTTTGTTAGTATATGTATTCCAAAATATGCGGGATTAATGTGCAATAGTTTTTAATTAAAAAAAACAAAACAAAAACCAGGTAAAATGCCCATGCTTTGTGATACAGCTGTTTTATTTTGTGAACATTTGTTTTCTAGCGAAGTTTCTGATAATTCTGGGGACGTTTCATGTACGAAAAATAAAATTAATTTAAAAAATGTTGGTATATTTTTAATTGATATTTCATTTACTTTAAGCATAAATGAGATTTGAAAACTAAAACAGCGGCAACGACCCTAACAGTACTTGATATGTATACAATTATTGACTAATCAAAGCAAATCGAATGCAGAAAAAACTCTGGTGCGATCTTTATCAACATTTCCAAATATTATTATGTCATTTTTACTCTTTACCTCTCATTATTACGTTTCAACTGTTCCCTGGAACTTTATTTACCTCTTTTTGACTGTAAATTTGGTCATATACTGTCATTGTTATTGATACGTTGCTGTTTATATTTGTTTAAATAAAGTTTTTGGAAAGGAAAAAAAGGCTGCAGCCCATGCTTCTTAGCCTACACACTAGCCCCTTTAGGATTGCTAGTTGTGTCAAGTTAATCGGGGTTAAGCAGAGAGTTTGTGAAAATGGATGCTTGTCTTTTAAAATAAAGCGCGAAGTTTCCTTTTTGGATACAAATTAGGGCACCTCTTCCTATTTTTGTAAGAGGACAGTTTCATGCAATTAGTACAACGGAGTTACATACAAGTCGTAAATAGTCGGAAATGTTCTAAATGGATCTACTACAAATTTCAGTACTTTTATTTTTGCGGAGCCAAACCGGAAGTGCTTTGCATATTTAAATTGCAACGACGCTGACTTAACGTCGCTGGGCTGTTGGCTAACAACAATGAGGAGTGCTAGCAGTTTAAAGCGTCCTATTACCGTTTACTCGGCTTCTCTAAGGTACAGTACATAAACACGTGCAGCACTTTTAGCAGCATGTTAAAGTATTTGTGATAACTGGTGTGCAGCCTATTAAGTCGACGTGATAATTTCACGTGTGCGTAGAACAAAGTGAGCATTGCTAATGCTAACGTTAGTGAGCATATCCACTTGCCTTCGTGTCATCAAACTTACACGTCGGATGTTTTGGAGGTGCGCTTAACGTTAACATTTAAAAATGCTCGTTTGTGTAACTGAATAGGCATGTTGTTGTTTTTGTATTTCAAATATGTGTAAATATTAAAATAAGTCAACGTGTACTTTGTGTCTTTTCCAAAATCCTTTATTAGCCTTGAACTGAAAACATTGTGTTGCATTAAAGTCACTACAGTAAAGAATAAACAAGATAGAAAAACTGCCCAGTGACACTCTAGAGCACTTTGATAGATCTGTGTTCGTTAATCCTTTAAATTTTAGCTGTTTGACATTATTCGAAAGCTCATATCTGACATGTAATAGTCTTTTACTTTTTTTGTCCTAACAGGGTACTCCTTGTGCTCTTTTGTTTTTTGTAGATTTGTGTTAGAGAATTGTAAGGTCATGTTTGTATGCATGGAGCATCCTGACCTTTTCCTTCTTTACTGCCTACTGCAACAGCAGTGAAATCTGTGTAATTTATTATCGAAATGTAGGGCTTTTTTTTTTTAACTTAAAAACTCTGAATGGAGTCACAGAAGATATTGGAGCCTTATAAAGAAGGCTACACAGCCCATTACTATAAGTCAGCCTATCAAAGTTACTAATAGGTGGAGGAAACAAAATTCTTTTCCTACGTGCGGCTACTCTGCTGCAGCCTAGTTATGCTTATCTGGAACTGTTAGTATTTTCATTATGATAATGCCATTTGTATATAATTTTTGTAAGTATAATTTTTTTAATCTATTCATTTTATTACCAACAGATTTTTTTGAAATGCAAAAGTAGCCTATTTTGACAATAAATAAAACATATAACAACACAATAGCTTTAAAAGTAGCAAAACAAACAAAAAACGACCAGTCTAAGTTTCATTTTGTGGGGTTTTTTTGTTTGTTTTTCTGTTTGTCTTTTGGATTCGTAGTCCATTTCTTCAGGGATTGCTAATTGTTTTGTCAAAGCCACCTGGAGCCACAAGAGCAGGATCAAAGAGACTCATGTGGCTCCAGAGTCGCACTCATTTAGGTCAGCACTGCATGAAATAACTCAGTTGTGTCGTTAAATACATTTTTATATGATTTTATGTAAGTGCTGAAATATTACAAATAATGTTTTGTCATACTGGCCCTACTAGCTTTCCATTTATCGTTAATATTTTGGATTATACAACTATAAATTGTATTAAATTGCCTTAAAAAGGGATCCAATGTAATGCATTTGCCTTTATGAACCCTGCAGAAGCCCTGTAAATGTGCAGTGGGAAGCAATGTTAGTGCCTAACTGGAATCAGGAAATTTACACTTGCAATGAATGCATAACATATTGCTGAGTCAGTGAACCTTTTATTAGAGCTGTTAGCATTAGTTTTTTTTTTTTTTTAGTATATTGAGGTACCTTGTATTTAAAAGAAAGCTGTGTCATTACCCATTATGTCCTTTTGCTTTTTTTAGGTTCTGAACTGTTCATCATTGCAACTTAATGCAAAAAACTCTCATTTTATTGCTTCAAAAGACTATCTGCGTAGTCCTAAATCCCCGTGCAAAACTTGTTAGATGTCAGAAATACTTCAGGTTGTGTAGGGCCTTTTCTGTCTATTCATGTGCTGAGCATCTACCTTTGTCTTTTCATGAGTTACATTTTACAAGGAAAATCTCTGCATTATCCTCGGTATCCCAAAAGCACAGTCTTCTCCCAAACTATCCTCCCTGGCTTTTCCTGCATCAAAGTTTCTCCAATCAGCCGGATATGGCAGATCAGAGGTTTCTCGTTGAATATGCCAAACGTGGCACAGCAGGATGTAAGAAATGCAAGGACAAAATCCAGAAGGGAATAGTGCGCATAGGCAAAGTTGTGCCCAACCCTTTCAGTGAGTCTGCAGGGGAGATGAAAGAGTGGTACCATGTGAAGTGTATATTCGAAAAGCTGGAAAGAGCCAGAGCCACCACAAAGAAGATCGAGGATA